TTATTCTCCAAATGTCCAAGGTTAGATGATCTTTTTAATTGTTTAAACGATAGATTACAATTAGTTTGCAATCGTCAACTCAACAAAGCAATGGTTGACATTGTTTATTTAAAAGATATTGTCAATTTCCCTGCAGATCGTTCAACTCGAAATAATTTAGTCTTTTTGGTTGGGAATTATCTCTACACCATATGGACTTATCGAAATATCGTACGACATCAACATCATCGTAACCAAGACTTGGATCCATCGATAGCAATTCGACGGTTCATAGCTGCTACAAAGGAATTACCTTTTGATAACGGTTGAATATAATATGTCGTTATCAAACATGAGTATGCTGTTCAGATGATTTATGTAGGCAATTGCTTTTTCCATTATTAAATCAAATCAATGAACAACATCAACAACGTGAAGTTATTTTAAATATTTTACGATATATTTTACTCCATATAAAGATAATGAAGATTTTAAACAAGGTATTATCTTTCATGATCAAGTAAAACGACTATTATCACCATTAAAGACAATAGTTAGTTCTGTATGTACTGTACGTGAAAATTTTCTTTTTCATTCTTCATGTTTGTTGTTTAATGAATAAAAGCGGTTAAAAGGAAAAAAAAAAAAAAAAAAAAAGATCCCACCCGATCAAAAACATGTTGCGATGACGATAATATGCGGACTGGTGGTAACACTAGTCTGCCAGAGCAACATTTTTCTATTAATTAAAAATAAAGAAAAATACTACTGTAATGTAATCATGTCTATATCACTTTTCATATTATATTAGAATGGACACGAATATTGTGAAATCTTTATCATCTATGACTCATACTGAAGGATGTGGAAATTCTCGAAAATGAAAAACTGATTCTCTTTCTCCCCCTTCTATGAAGAAAAGAAACTTGAATTTGAATGTTTAGTTATCGCTTCTCGGCTAAGATCAAAGTGTAGTATCTATTCTCGTCGGTTTGAAAGCCGGCGCTGGTCTCATTGAGGCCAGGATCACTCGGACCTGTGCCGCGGATAATCTCGACACTGCAGTGCTATTGAGTTTGGTCCACTCCCGTTTCCTTCGGGACACGGGAATCATCTTATATTTATACTCAAAAATAAAACAAATACATTATATAAATATACAAATATAGGATTATAGATAAACAACGATATGTGTTATATAATATTACATTTTCCTCTTATAGTTATTTATTTCTCTTCAT